AATATAATTACTATGAAAAAATGTTTAAACAAATAATTGGATATTATATTGGGAATCCCGTGAAGAGAAAAAGGTTTTCCGATCGAAAAATATTGGTTTTCAAGAATTCTATACCATTTCCACGAAAAGTGGTTTTTCCCCCCATATAAAATACATGAAAACTTTGAGCGCTTTGACCGACCTCTTAATATTTTTTTATTTCAAAAAAAAAATAAAAATATGAGTACATATATTTTTCGGTATAGAACAATCCAAGGGGGTGAGAGCATACAAATTCCGGCTTCACTTTTTTACATGGATTTTTGGACCAACCTAGTGCATAGCAATACACTTCGTTCGGATAACTTGCGTTTGTTGTAGTTGTTGTCTTTCACTTTATCACTTATTTGTATATGCAATCTGGTTGTAGAGAAAATCGAGAATATTTTTTTTTAATATCATTTGCAAACGCAAAAACACTCGTAAGTACATGCATATATGTACTATATTAAATACTGGGACTAGGCTTGCATGATTTGTGTGCAAATGTGTAGATACATACATACATACACACATACATACATACATACATACTATATATTTGTGTTCGTATGGAACAATAGCTTATGTCGAAAGGCTGCCTTTAGTATAATGCGGCATTCGCAGCATACGATTGCGATCACTGGCGCCGAGCCGATACTAGCGAGTCCATATTCTTATTAAGTTTCATCAAAAAATTCCTTGTCGTTTAAAGAATAAAGGGAATGCCGCATTATACTAAAGCCAGCTTCTTGACATAAGCTGCTATTCCATACGAACAAAGATACATATGTACATATGTATGTGGCTACCTTAATTGCATAAATTGTAGTTATTAATTAAGTTGCCCCTCTGTGTGTGTTTTTTTTTTTTATTAAAAATCCAATTCGATATAAATCTCAAAGTAAACGCGGCAGTGTTATGTAAAAATAGTATGTACAAGCACATTAGAGTGCACCAGACATTTTTTTTTTGGCATCGACTTGAAATTAAACCGAGGATTGATCGGCTCAAACCCTTCTTAAAGCGAGCTGATAAAGTGCATCGAATATCGAATGACCTTCAGGGCTGCTCAGCCTTAACCTGTTACAGGGGAGGAACCCCCTTCCCACCAATGGTAGAACTAAATTAGAATACAAAACGAAAATCGCTCCTCAAAAATGGCTTACAGAAGCATCCACCTCTGTCTGATCTAGAAATGCGGTAGAAATAGTTCACTCTCACATAATTCGAACGAATTGGGAGTCATGCAATGCAACATCGGTCGATAAAATACGCTCAGTCTAAACAAAAGTTCGACTGAAAGTTGTTAAGGCCGGAGATATCCCATAACGGAGGAGATTTGGTGTCATCGGATCCAGCGGAAATCTTGGAAATGCTGCAGGAGTTTAACCCAGGCATGCCATCGCTAAAATTCTGAATGTCGAATAATGCAAAAACAATCGAATTTCGCAAAAATAGAAGTTTTTACTTTAAGTTCTTGGACACCCTAATGTCCATTCATACATACATACATACATATGCACATGCGTATCATATGTATACATAAGTACCCATTGTAACCGCTGGCAAAATGTTTTGATTGCCATTGTAAAATGAAATACCAGGCAAATACAAAATATATGTATTTACATTGCAATTCGCAACAGCTACATACATACATACACGTGTATGTTCGTAAAATTAATAAAAGTATGTAGATGTTTTTTTTAAGAAATTAAACACTTGCACCGCCTAATAAATAGCTACATAAGAGCGTGAACATTGTACAATAACAAATTTCGATTTCTTTATTTTGTTTTTTTAGCTTTTAAATAAAGCACAACTCGTCTTCGCCTGTTTTCTAATTTCTACTTGTTTGCACTTTTCATATAATGTACTGTATTTTATTAGCAATTATAATATGCACAACAACACTTCACCGGGTGGGAGGGGGCGGGACGGCAGAGACGCGCGCTCGAATACAGTAAGTCAAACGATTGCGCCACCAAGCGTAGTTTCTGCTTGTCAGCCAGCCAGTTGCCTAGACGCTTCAATGGCAGCTGGATTGCACAATGCCACACAATTAATGTTTGCCGCCACTACAAATGTTGTTTGTTGGGTTGTTTGTATTCAACTTTTTTTTTGTTTTGTATTTTGTATTTGTTAATAAAACTGCATTCACCGGGGAGTACACGAACTCACGAACTGTTTGTTACTCATCACGTTCTTGGGTATGCCGCTATTTGAGTGCTGCTTCGTTTTTGTGCTTTTGCTTTTACTACATTTTCATTCATACGCACATCTGCCGGTCTTTGAACACAAAGAAATACGCAACCGAACCGAATACTTCGCCGGATATGCATTCACTCACACTCATGCATACATACTAAACCACATGTACATCCAGATGGACAAGCGTGTGCGCGTGTGTGTGTGTGTGTGTGTGGGGGGGGAGGGGGAATATCTGTGTTTGTGTTTCACACGTAATTGCGCCGTTACCGTTTGTAATCAAATTGCTCTTATTGGATTGGGAAGTCAAATGCCCTCCACTGTAAATAAACTGTTCGCTGAGCTTGGAACCGCACGTACGCTGATAACAACCGCTTCGCGTTCTGTCTCATTAACAACTGAAGCGGCCAGTCAGTCGGTCGTTCAAAGCGAGCATGTGGCTGATTTCTGGTCGTTCGACGTCTGCTCATTCTGGAAATGAAACCACCACCAGTGTACGGAACGGCTGGCTGTGCCATGTGCCTCTTCCAAGCTGGAAATTAGTTAAACTGTTGGCACTGTGTCAGTGGTTTGTTTTGTTGACTCTGAGCACGCCTCGGTGTTAACAAAAGCGTTTTGCCGAATGAATCACTACTACCAGCCACCGAACCAGAGAAACCGAACGAACTACCAACGTTTGGAAAGGTCGAAGCGGCAATGGGTTCGATAAGGGAGAAAACAAAAGACATGTGTTTGCGCAAACAAGCCTACAAACCATGACTATGAAGCAGCTGGTGATGCAGGCTCGCATTTTTGTGTCCGATCGAGCGTTCTAACCCGGAAACCAAACAGATTAGTCGAATGAGACCATAACAATAAAAACTTCACTGTCTAATAGCCACAGATAATCAGGCCGATCCTGAACAGGAACTCCCTGGGAGTTTTATCTCTTTTCTCTTTCCTCCTATCATGAATAAAAATCCCTAAGGATTTTTTATATTAAATGGCGGAGTTGAGGCGTCAAAGAAGTGCCAAACAGCTCTTGAGAATTTCGAATTTTCTCATCCCAAATTCTCGGGGAAAATGCTACCTCCTGGGAGTAAATTATTGGAGGACTTCTTTCTCGGGAGAAACAAACTCCCGTAGAACAAACTCTCTGGGAGTATTCAGAATCGGGCTGAATAGCTTTGTTCCACACGTTACTCGAGTGACACTAAGAAAAAGAGCAAGGGAGGAGAGATACACTTTAAAGAGGAAGAATGAAGAGAGAGCGAAGAACTTGAATTATTATCAGGCACGAACGCAGCCCGGGAGTTCTATCAGAATAAGACAGAATGCAAACGGTTTCAAGACCGGGACCCATCCCTCCACTAGATCAAGACTGAAGGACAGAAAAGTCCTTGGAGCCGACAGAAGACCTGCCGAGCTGATCACGATCGGCGGCAAAGAGCTGGCTGGGCGCACGTACAATAGGGTGGTCCAAAAATGCATGTGAAAAAGTAAAGTTGGAATTTTTATGCTCTCACCCCCTAGGATTGTTCTATACCGAAAAAAATATACCCTTATTTTTTAATTTAAAATCAAAAAAACATTTGGAGGTCGCTCAAAGCTCCCAAAGTTTTCCACGTATTTTGTATGCGGAAAATAATTTTTTTCGATATGGAAAAATCCTAGGGGGTGAGAGCATTACAATTCCGACTTTACTGTTTGGACCACCCTAATGTACAAGAAATTAAGGCCATATTGGTCAGATAAATGCATTATCGAATATTGTAATCTCAGTGTATTTGATTCAGTTCTCAACTAACGCGGGGTAAGGGTGAGAGATTGAAACCATCAAGCCATGGAAAAGAGTCCCAATAATCAAGGCACCACTTTTTTTAAGATTATAAAACCTTTTCAGTAGCACGAAAAGAAGGTGGATCTGCGAAGCCATGTATAAATTTGGAATCACCAAAAACTAATAGGGCTATTTTGGGTGAGGCAGTATTAGCTCCTGATTTTGTAAGCTTGGGAGTGGCTAAGGGTTAAAAAAACAGTATTTTCTCTATAATATTCGATCTTATATTTTCATTCAATTGTTTTTAATTATGTTTGAAGTTATTAAGGATCTAATAAATGAATAATGATCAATTTTAAATCAAAAAAAAATAAATTGCTTTTTTATGGAATTATCCGATGAGACGTGATTCGAAAAGCTAAATATGCAATTCCGAAAAGGGCACTTGTCTGAAAATTTGAAGTATTTAGGAAAGAAGAAAACTAATTATTTCTCCTAGGCTTGGGACCTTTTCAAACTTATTCGATGCTCGCGATGATGCCAACAGTAGAATTGATCGATTAGAGAAATACAGAGAGGCATTTAGATTGCATTCAAATGACAAAAATTTATTTACAAATTATGCGAGAAGTAATGCGCTCTTTCGAAATTGCATATCCAATTACAATAGACAGATTTACATACAACAATGAAGTATCTATAGTTGGGAAAATAAATATTCTAAAAACAACCAATTTGCCAATTATTTTATTAAAAAAATTGCCAAAGGCTTATGGTCCGATTATGCATTCTTCGCATAACTTCGCAAAAATTTCAAACGGTAATTTTTTATGTACATAATCCATTATCCAGAAATTAGCGAAACTTGTGAAATTACTTAGCGATCTGTTGAGTTTAGATTTTGCTTCATATTTTCTTTAGTTATATTTCAATTGCAGTGGTACAAATGGTTCTGCGAAGTTATGCGAAGTATGCATAATCAGACCTTTAACAAAACCAAAAATTAACTTACCATTGACCGGGTGACGGTTAATGTATGAGCTCCGCTACACTTATGCCAGCTTTCGCCGATTAAAAGAGCTTGTAACACTTCATTATTTTCAAAATCATTGCAGGAAATGCATGTCCCGCATATCGTTTAATTACCCTAATTCACCAACACCCACACAAACGACCAGAGGCTACTTTTTTTTGTTCCCATGCATCTTGAGCGACACTATCATGCATAAATATGTAGATATGGATGTACAATAGGGTGGTGGAAAAATGCACGTGAAAAAGTAAAGTCGGAATTTGTATGCTCTCACCCCCAAGGATTGTTCTATACCGAAGAAATATACCGCTATTTGTTTATATTAAAATCAAATAATATTTAGAGGTCGCTCAAAGCGCCCAAAGCTTTCCAGGTATTTTCTATGGCGAAAAAACAACTTTTCGTAGAAATGGTATAGACTTCTTAAAATTCAATATTTTTCTATCGGATAACTCTGTTTCTTTGCAGCAGACTCCCAGTAATAATACTCAATTGTTTATTTAACAATTTTTTGATCGCAACTATTACTTATAGGTCCGCCAAAAACCCACAAAACCCATGCAAAATTCAATGGGGGACCCAATAAAAAATTTGTGTATTAAAAAATGGTAAAATAAAGAATTGGGTATTGTTATTGAAAGTCTTCTGAAGAGAACCAGAGTTTTCCGATCGAAAAAAATTGATTTTCAAGAATTCCATACCACTTGAAACGTTTTTTTTCCCCCATATAAAAATACTTGGAAAACTTTGCGCTTGAAAACTGAGCGCTTTGAGCGACCTCTAAATATATTTTGATTTCAAAATAACAAGGTAGGGGTATACTTTTTTTCGATATAGAACAATCCTAGGGGGTGAGAGCATTACAATTCCGACTTTACTCTTTTTGGACCACCCTAATGTGCATATGTACATATGTAGGTATGCATGTATGTATTTATGAAACAGATATTTGCGACGAGCATTGGCGGCACTCGAACTTTCGTGTTGGCGGTTAAATGACTTGCACCACTAAAACTGGCGGCTATGTGAGCCAAAATACAAAAATTGGTACTTAAATTTGGTAAGAGCTCGCCTGTCATCTTCGCATACGTATATGTATAGCCATGTGCATACCCACTCGGAAAAAAGGTAAGCACTTTACGAAGTAAGCCATGGGAAGAAAGGTATCTGTTTGTACGTTTCACTATAGTACGCTTGGTACTTATGTAAATATATATATGTAAGTACATATGTATCTATGTACATATGTATGTATGTACATACGTAGTTTGCCCATGTTTATTTATGTTCTATACCGTTCTGGCTTTTTGGCTCCTATTGTCCCGGCCGGAGTTCATTCTTTTTTTTTTGGTAATTTCTTTCCCATCGCTTTCATATATTTTCGTATTGTTGCCTGTTTGGCATTCACTTTTGTCTCTGTGAGTTTTTGTGAAGTTGTTAAGCTTTGCTTGCGGTCAAATTCCCACACAAACCATAAGCCTAAGTTGAATCCAAAGGAAACCGGTTTGTTCGATCTCGTCGTGCTCGCGTTTTTTCAACATTCTTCCCAAAGTTTTATTTTTCTTTGTCATTAAACATTGTACTGCCATACTATGTACTTGCATTTGTATCGAGTTGTAATTGTACATGCATACATATGCACATACATATGTACATACGTATGTATGTAGTATTTATGTACGTATAATGATATATTACTTCCGTAATTCACTTTTTAAGGCTGATTTGTATTTTATTTTGAGCCAAAAATAAACAAACACCACAAATATCACTCTCGCAATAAGCTTCAGATTTTTTATTATCGTTTTTTGTTGAACATTATAATTTGCAATTAAAAGCAGTGATTTCGTGCTTCAAACACATACAAAACACATACAAACATACATGACGACAGAACTTAGTACCCGCAAAATTCTCGAACTCGCTTGAATCCATCGTAACTTATACGAAACTCCTGACAAGATAACAATAAAGTCAGAGAATTGAAACGATCATAACGAATGAACCAAATGATAAACAAACAGAAACTCATACACAAACGGAGAGAAGAAAAGTTTAAGTGCTAAGCCCCAGCGAAAGAGCCAACGTATCGCGTCGAGCGTCTGGAGTGGAATGCGCGCGTCTGCTGGCTGTATCTTACCTGTACATATGCGCGAATAAGCTCTCCGACTGGGAGTTGAATGTAAAGTACGCCAGCGATTACCTTCCAGATTGTAGACCCATACATTTTGAATTAACTTCATACATATATGTATAAATATGTATGTACATACATTAGACTGCATCACTTCCCATACAAGAAAAAAAAAAAAGGAACAGTCCAGCGCCTTCGTCTTGGCCTGCAGGCTGTATCGGAGATACAGCCGCTAAATTTAAACGTAGAATACGTGGTATGGTTAAGAGCATATCCAAGTAAAAAAACAAAAGCACACACTAAGCAAAAAATATCGATAACAAAAGCGATAATAATATCGGTAGCAAAATCGAAAAAAACATCGATAAAGAAATCGATGAAAATATTGATATCAAAATCGAAAAAATATCGAAAGCAAAATCGATAGCAAAATCGCTAAAAATACTGATTACAAAATCGATTACAAAATCTATCAAAATATCGATTACAAAATCGATAACAAAGTCGATAACAAAATCGATTATAAAGTCGATAACAAAATCCATAACAAAATCCATAAAAATATCGATACCAATATCGATAGCAACATCAATAAAAATATCGAATATAAAACCTATAAAAAAATCTATAACAATATCGATAGCAAAATCGATAAAAATATCGGTAACAAAACCGATAAAAGTATCGATGACAAAATCGATAGCAAACTCGATTACACAATCGATAAAAAAAATATCGATAACAAAATCGATAAAAGTATCGATCATTATATCGGTAAGTTCCGAAAATATCGATAGCAAAACCAATAACAATATCGATAACAAATTCGATGAAAATATCGATAACGAAAGCAATAATAATATCGATAGCTAAATCGTAAACAAAATCAATAAAAATATCGATGACAAAACCGGTAAAAATATCGATTACAAAATCGATTAAAATACCGACAGCAAAATCTATAAAAATATCGGTAATAAAATCGATAACAAAATCGATAAAAATATCGATAACAAAATCGATAAATAATCTATCATAAAATCGATAACAGTGTCGATAACAAAATCGACAACAAAGTCAACAAAATATCTATAACAAAATCGAGAAAAAATATCGATAACAAAATCGAAAAAATACCGATCATTATATCGATAAGTTCCGAAAATATCGATAGCAAAATCAATAACATTATCGATAAAAATTTCGATAGCAAAATCGATAAAAACATCGGTAATAAAACCGACAAAGTATTGATTATTATACCGATAAACCCCGAAATATGTACTTCCGGACACATACATACTTTTTGTCTCCTTCCCACGCTTCCAATGCGTGCACGTGTTTGCAAAATGATGACGAGGTGATTTTGTATGGAAAATCATTTATGCCCATATATTTGAATAAAATAAACATATATAGAAGATATCAACCAATACTTCCCATATACCAAACGAAAGGAAAACTCTTGAATTTTTGATTAAAGAAAACAAAAACAAAATCATTCGAGCGGTTTTCGAGCATTTTGGTAATGAAAAAAATTTGCAAAGTTTTTCAACAATTTTTTGCCTTAAAATGCTCAATATTTGTTAAATTTATATAAAATTTGTACCCGATAATATTTCTACTGCTCCAAAGAACCTATATCCTGAAAATGAAAGTTATATATGCCAACAATAAGTTGCTAGAGCACTTTAAAGGCTCAAAATTGACCCCAAAATAAGGCAATGTTTACCGTTGTTTTTACGACAGAAACCGAATTGGTTATTTACAAAAATGAATCTGTCGACAGGTTTGGAATTTTATCTTTGAAACACCACTATTTTCTTTGAAATCGCTTTATTAGTTCTCGTGCAATAAGCGTTTTTGTGAAGCTCTAAAAATTACAACTACAACATTTGAACATAGCCCCCCCATACCTTAAGGTAAGACGTATTCTGCGTCAAAAAAAATCGGTACGATTTTTCCATTGGAATTAAAGGAATCTATTATATTTTAAGACGTCCATCAAAATATTTCGGAAAAATATTAAGATTTAAGCGAGCTGGACCGATTTGAAAATACCTCCAAAAATGGAGTTTTTTATGAATAAAAATAGTTTTTTAAATTTTTTCAAAGATTGGTATAAGAAAAACTTGAATAACCTAAAGTCTTCCGATTTAGACTTGTGAGGTGTCATTTCTTTTTTATTTCTTTGCTAATAAGCTCATTCAAAGAACGAAAGAGAAAGGTAGGATGAACGAAGATCATTCAAAGTTGTACTAATTGAGCTGGTATTTGAAAAAATAAAATTGGGACACGACTGACTTTTTTTTGCACATAAATAAAAATAGTGGGAGAATACCTTTCCACCGAGAATAGTTTTGGCCCAGTTATTTAAGTTTTTCGTAAATCAATCTTTGAGAGAAGTAAAAAAAACAATATCAACAAGTAAGAAAGTCTAAGTTCGTGCGGAGCCGAACATTAAATACCCGGCGCAAGTATTAAATATATGTTTTCCACCTTTCCGAAAGCTACCGCTACATGATAAGCCGGGGTGTATACATTTTAAGTAAATTAGCGTCCTTAAATTTCGAAATATTGAAATTTCAAGCATATCTGAAATTTACCGTTATATGAAAAGCGGCCTCAATTTTAGTCCGATTTCAATAATTTTCAACGTTTTGCTTACACGTGGCAGGCACAATAACCACACCGAGTTTGGTACAAATTGGTAGAACGGTTACCGATATACTTATATGTGATCACAAGTGGGCGGTGCTACGCCCATTTTCCAAAATTTTGTCATAAACGTATTTCCTGGTAAAGAATTGTTGCAACCATCAATTTTGAATAAATTAGCTTCAATATTTACTGATTTATCGAAGATTTTGTATTTCTCGAAATTACCGTTATATGGGATGTGGGCGTGGTTATTGTCCGATTTTAGAAATTTTCGGCCAGTTGGTATGCTGTACCAGGACCAACAACTGTGCCAAGTTTGGAAGAAATTGGTGTAGCGGTTACCAAGATATGTACATGTAACCATAAGTGGGTGTGGCTACGCCCATTTGCCAAAATTTTGTAATATTCTTATTTTTCGTCTAAAACTCATTGCAAATATCAATTTTGAGTGAATTATCTTCAGTAGTTACTAAAATATCGCAGTTTTCGTTTTTCTGAAAATTACCGTTATATGGGAGGTAGGCGTGCACAGATTATTATCTGATTTCGCCCATTTTCAATACCATCCGTCCCACGCCCAAAAGAAGTTCACGTACCAAGTTTCGTTAAGATATCTCAATTTTTACTCGAGTTATCGTATGCACAGACGGACGGACGGACGGACGGACGGACGGACGGACGGACAGACAGTCACCGCTTAATCGATTTCTCTTTTCATTCTGATCATTTATGTATACATTTGTCTATATCTATCTCGATTCGTTTTGCCTGTTACAAACAACCGTTATGTGAAGAAAGTTATAATACCCTTGTGCACAAGTGCGCTCGGGTATAAAAATATCATTATTACGATTGCGTTTAAAAGATTTTTAAATATTTTTATGTAGATTTTTTAAGCCTAATCTGTTTTGTCATCTGAAGGGACTTTTTTCAAAAAGTTCTTTAAGAAACTATTTTTATTCATAAAAAACTCCATTTTTGGAGGTATTTTCAAATCGGTCCAGCTCGCTTAAATCATAATATTTTTCCGAAATATTTTGGTGGACGTCTTAAAATATAATAGATTTTGTTATCCAGGCGGAAAAAACTACAACTTTTTTTTGGTGATGCAGTCTAATGTACATATGTATGTATATACACACACATTAGGCCGGATTGGACTAATTTAAAAATAAACAAGTAAAGAAGTATAAGTTCGGGCGAAACCGAACTTTATATATATTTTTTTTATTATTTTTCCGAAATATTTTGGTGGACGTCTTAAAATATAATAAATTTTGTTACCCCGGCGGAAAAAACCACACATTTTTTTGGTGACGCAGTCTAATGTACATATGTATATACACACACATTAGGCCGGATTGGACCAATTACAAAATAAACAAGTAGAGAAGTAAAGTTCGGGCGAAACCGAACTTTATATATCCGGCACAGGTATCAAATATCGTCGTTTCAACTTTCTCTGAACTACCTTTGCATGATAAGTAGGGGTGTTTAATCGATTTCAAACGTTTTCGATAATATGCAGAGCTAGACTTAATGATATAATTGAACCTAGTTAGGTACAAATCGATTAAGTGGTTACCGAGGTACATCTTTGTAGTTATAAAGTCCAATTCATAAAAGTTTATAGCAGTTATTTATTGTTAGGAGATTGTTGTACATAACTATTAACTTGGAGTAAATTAGCGTCCTCAGTTATTGAAATATGGGAGTTTTCGTATTTCTGAAGATTACCGTTATACGGGAAGCGGGTGTAATTTTAGTCCGATTTGAATAATTTTCAACAAATTGCTTTTCCGTACCAAGGTTATTAAGTGCACCGAGTTTGGTAGAAATTGATAAATCGGTTACCGATATACATATTTGTGGTCATAAGTGGGCGGCGCCACACCCATTATCCAAAAATTTATAATCAGGCAGGTTCTGCAATTCACTTTCGAGTGAATTTCAATCAAACTCGCTTTGAATTCAATTTGGCAGGGGTTGAAATTCACTCGGAAGTGAATTGCAGAACCTGCCCGAATATTCTAATTTGTTGATAAGTGGTTAGTGTACTCGTCGATTTGAAGTGAATTAGCTCCAGTAGTTACTGATTTATCGCAGTTTTCGTGTTTCGGTAAATTACCGTTATATGGCAAGTGGGCGTGGTTATTGCCCGATTTGAAAGATATTCAACCGTATTTTAAGCTAGACCCTACCCTCGTAAATATCGGTGAATCGGCTACTGAGATACGGCATTTCATCATAAGTGGGCGGGGTCACGCCTAATACTAATAATATTATTTTTTACTGCAATTCGACTCCATATACTAATTTCCAATAAT